TTATAGATAAATAAAGGGGTTAATTTGTAAATAAAAAAAGTAAATAAGTTAAAATTCAAGGATTACTTTGGTAAATATTAAGATCTTGGTAATAATGAGAATCTTGATATTAAATTCTCTTGTTTTACATGTAACAAACTTGCTAATCTGTTTTGCAATGCTTAAACTGATAAAATAAAGAAAACCGTAATAAAATCAACTCTAATATTCACATAATAAAAAGGTTCTAAAATGTCATGGTATATATATATATATATATATATATATATATATATATATATATATATATATATATATATATATATATATATATATATATATATAAAATATGTATGACCAAGTTGTGTCATATCTCAAAAAATAATAATAATAATACTCACATGGTATATAATAAAAAATCGCCTAAATTTATTTAGTCACGATTATACTCACCAAGGTGTTAAAACAACACTTATATAAAAAAAGTTAGCTCTGAGATGTCAGCTCTAAAAGATATACAAAGACATTAGGTTACAATACTAAAAGGGTTGGACAAAATATCTCAGAGTTAGTAAAAAAGTAAAAGAGAAATAACCCCTACCCTTATTAGATAGTACATATAAATTTACCCAAGAACATTTGAACATACAACAAAACTCATATACATACGAGCATTTCAAATAATAACCCTTACTAAAAAAAGTGGATCATATAAAACCATAAGATTGACATGGTCAACGTGAAAATACATCATATAATACTAAGTCATACAACCTGAGTTTAAGGTGGTCAAGAGTAAAATATATTCCCTTAACCGAATGACCTTAAAAAAAAAAGTGAATTCTTATCTTACTTTACTCTACTAAAACGCGAATTTATATTTATCATAGTCGTAAAAAAAACAAAGACAAAAGATACAAAACTAGATCAAAACAACAGGAAAACAAATAAAACAGAAGCCAAGTATATGTCGGCAAAATAAATTTTCATAACAGAAATTACTATTTGGAATAGTGCCAAATAGTGTTTGCATAGTGTCAAATAGTGTTTCGAATAGTAAAATACAATACAGGACGCGTATGAAATCCTGCTATCCCAATTAGCGTCGGATAAATATTGATACAATTGATCCAAATTGAAATTTATTGGATACCACATTAACCGCGGGGGATATAAAAAAAGGTAACGTTAATTTACTTTTGACAATTGCTTATCAAAATTGAAGAAGGAATACACAAACTAGACTGAAATATACAACATAAATAATAATAAATAATAATAATAATAATAATAATAATAATAATAATAAGGGTGTCAGACGTTCCATGCAATAATGCATGAACTTCTAACAATAACAACACACAAAAAAAAAAAAAAAAAAAAAAGTAAAATAAAAGAAAGTAAAGGCTACCATGCGATGAAACATAAATGCCAAAGAAAATGTCAGAGCAACGTAACGAAACGAAAACATAATCCGATATTATCGCTGAAAAAAACTATTCATCTGAAGCTATACACAATTATACATATGTATCCCTCGTCTAAACTCGTCCATACAACTCCTAAATAAATATGGACAGGTTAGGTCCAGACTTGTATTTATCGGATCAAGTATTAACTGCGGAACAAAGATATTAGAACAGACGTACATAAAAGGAGGTCCCTTTAGCACTACAACATATAGTACCCATTTAGATGTGGGAATATTTGTCATTTTCCTATATTGGTTGGACACGAGTCTTTAGAGCAATGGACTTTATAGCTTAGGTAAATTGGTCATATGATAGGATAGTGCACAAATAAAAAAAAAAACTAGATAAAACAAAAAAAGCACCCTAACGGTCTAAGTGAACATATTAATATACTTACTATACTCTAAAGGGTTAAACGATACTTGTTTATAAGAAAAATGACATATTCCCCTAGCGAGATAAAAAAAAAATATTGTACTTTATATTATACGATTATTATACAAATACATACAAAAATATGATTATTATACAAAAATACTTACTTTTTACTATAAAAAGAAATTACCCTTATCCAAAATCTCCACTCACCACTTAATTCTTATCTTCTTCCATCTTCCTCTTTACCCGAAAAAATCAAGCAAAAACCACCATTAAACTCAACCACCATGTTTCAAGAAAACCAGGAAAATCAGCCTATCTTCACCTTTGAGGAAGACATGAGGATGATAAGGGTGTATTTCATGTACATTTTGGGGCTAGTAGTCCTCCTAATGGCTGTATTAATTTACCTGTTAATCCATAAGTAAAAACCCGAAAATTACTTCGGTGGAGCAGGGTAGAAATGTATGTAGTGTCAGTTGTACTTCAATATTTTGTAATTTAGTAATTTAGAAGTACAAATTGTAACATGTATTTTGGAAATTATGAATAAAAATCATTGTTATTACTCGTTTCCTTCGTTTTATGTAATAAAACAAACGTCATTAAGTTTATAAAAATAATTAGCAAAATAATTATTATTATTTGCAAAAAAAAAAAAACAATAATTATAGTAATAAAAATAATTAATAGTGATAATTAAAAAGGTAGTATCAAAATTTGGTGTCTACAGATTGCCCTACATTGATTGAGTTTAAATAAAACGATAATCAATGTTTGAGAAAAGACACAAAATTTTGATGTATGTTAAAAAAAAAATCCTAATTGATCTTCATTGACCTGAGTGCAGTTGAAAAACTGGCTATAAAATAGAGTGAAATTCTCACTCAATTGCAACACAAATGTTGGCTTGGGTGCATTTGAAAAACTGGCTGAAAAATAAAGTGAAATTCTCACTCAATTGCAACACAAATGTTGGCTTAGGTGCAGTTGAAAAACTGGCTGAAAGAGAAAGAAAAAAAAAGAAAAAATAAAATAAAGTGAAATTCTCACTCAATTGCAACACAAATGTTGGCTTGGGTGTAGTTGAAAAACTTGTTTAACCTTGCAGAAGATTAAAACTCCGATTTGCACGAGCTTGAAGAAAAGATAACAATAATAAAAAAAAAATTCATGGATTTCGGATGCAAAAACAGCAGGTGGTTTGTACTGAGTTTTCGGAAAAGTAAACTCCTTGGGCCTTTTCTCCCTGGCTCTATTACCACCATCACTCCTATAAAAAAAAGTGGTATTCATTCCTTTCTACACCAAATCAACTCCCTTCTTCTTTCGCTTTTCAAGTCTTATTTATTCTCTCCTCAAAATTCTAAGAAAAAATGAATGCCATATTTCAAGAATTCAATGAAACCAGTGCAGCTAGAAAGCTCCAACTAAAAGGGGTGGTAGAAAATATTTCTCCACCTCGCCTTTCCCCTTACACAAGTGTCTTCACCAGAAACATTACCCCTCTTCTAGCTATTCAACCTCGGTATGATATGATTCATGCTGCTGTTGAATTTTGGGATGAAGAACATCATGTCTTTCGTTTTGGAGAGATGGAAATGGCTCCTCTTCTAGAAGAAGTGGAGGGTTTACTAGGTCTTTATAAAGAAGGCCGTGTGATTACACCCGCTGACCCAAGGGCAACCAATGCGGCCATGAGGGATTTACTAGGCATACCATTAAATATGAAAAGCAATTATCGCCTGCTTGACAGCCTAATCTTAGAGAATTTCCTTGAGACCTTCTCTTTATCTCATTGGGAATCTGCCAATAATGAGGATTTCAAAAGGTGCCAAGAAAGAGCTTGCATCCTTTTATTTCTCGGCCTTGTTTTGCTCAAAGAATCATTATTTTCCTGTCATGTTCGTTACCTTTCTTTGCTGTCACAGATTGAGTCAGGGAACCGTTTAGGGCCTCTTATCCTAGGGGAACTTATGATGGGGCTTGACCATCTGAAACAAAATCCAGGTGGTTTCGTTAAAGGGTGTCCAATTGTGCTTCAACTTTGGTTATGCGAGAAATTCAAGCTGTCTAGACCACCTTTTCGAACTTCTTACCAAACCCGACATATTTGGGAGAAAGGCTTTTTTCCTATATTCCCTCAATGTTGCAACCAAGGTGGATGGACAGACCTTTTTGCCGCAGCTGATGTGGAATGGATCATTTCATTTCTCAATATAAATTCCATAACAATTAGCACTAGCAGACGCAAGGGTGTTCAACTTCCAGGATTATGTCGCGTCACCTTCTATCTTCCTTGGAGATGTTTGAGACAAGAGGGCCAACTCCAACGACTCCTAGAGCTTCATGAGCTTCCAGCGGTACCTTGTACCACCTATGAGATTTGTAATGTGGAAGCTCTTAGGGCATCATCTCGTGTATGGAAATTTGCACGAACGATCTCTGCGTTTACAGTCCTTGAGAACGATGTTCCAACCCCATCCTACACAAAATGGTTGTTGGAAGACCTCGAGGGTGATGCTTGAATTAATCCTTAGAAGAATTTCTTTATTGTAATTCAATACTTGTACTTGTGTTTCCTTTGTTTATGTATTTTCAATTCCAAAAGAAAAATTGTATCCGAAGGCGTTGGTCTTTAGGGTATGGTGTATGTGGTTGTTGTTTTCATGGTTTAAAGTGGATGTAATCTCGCTAAAAAGCGAGAGAGTTTGCGTTAAAAAAAAGTTTGTCCGTTGTAATCATATTTTGTTAAGTATTGACTTGATCATGATCTTTTAATAATAATGAATATTTCTACATGACCATTAAGCATGCAAGGCAAACATGAATGAAATCTAAACTTTAACATGATACACATAACCATCTAAAGCTAGTAGGAGATTCAAGATTTTTTTTTTTTTTTTTTTTTTTTGGGAATCCCATAAATACAACACTGTACCAGTCAAGCATAATACTTTTTTAACTGATCAAGGTTGGTGAATGAACAAATTCATTTCCATCAAGATCCATCAATTTTACTGCTCCCGCTGGTGTAAGATGTTTGACCAGGAAGGGACCAGACCAGTTTGGCTTGAACTTTCCACGTGGATCATGAATCGGTGCTCGATTTTCCTTAAGTACCAAATCTCCTTCTTGGATATTCCTTTCCCGGACCTTTTTATTAAAAGCCTAAGCAATGCGTCTTTGATAAATTTGAATGTTTTGAAGGGCTTGTAACCTTCGTTCACTTGCCAAAGAAAGTTCATCATATCGTTCTTTAAACCATTGTTCTTCAGATATCTCACTTTCATTCATTACGCGAAGCCATTGAATCTCCGTTTCGATTGGAAGAAGCGGGTCCATTCCATATACCAAAGAATATGGAGTAGTCCCAGTTGGTGTTCGAATGGAAATTCTGTATCCCCAAAGTTCATAGGGAAGTTTATCAGGCTATTCTCGAGCCCTATCTGTCATCTTGGCGATCATCGTCTTGATGGTTTTGTTAGCTGCTTCAACAGCTCCATTGGTTTGAGGACGATACGGCGATGATTGGTGATGTATGATTTTGTACTTCTCAAGGGTTTCTTTGAGATGGCCTTCAAATTGTGAACCATTGTATGAAATAATTTTAAAAGGTATCCCATACCGACATATAATGTTATTGATTACAAATTTTGAAACTTGTTTTGCCCCTAGTTTCGAATAAGATGATGCCTCTACCCATTTCAAAAAGTAATCGACCGCAACCAATATATATTGATGCCCGTTCGAAGCTTTCGGATGTATTTGCCCAATGATATCTATGCCCTAGCTGAAAAAAGGCCATGGTGAAGTAAAATTATTTAGGCTAACTGGCGGCATATGATTAAGGTTTGCAAATAGCTGACATTTTTTGCATATTCGTACGAAATGGATGCAATCACTTTCCAAAGTGGTCCAATAATACCCTGCTCGCAGAATCTTCCGAGCAAGCATTCGTCCATTCATATGAGGTCCACATTCTCCCCGATGTACCTCTTCCATGATCCTTTGTGTCCGCTCCCCATCGATGCATAATTGCAAATTTCCATCGAAACTTTTATGATACAACAAACCTTTCGATATTGTGAAATGGGAAGCTAGCCTTCGAATAGCCAACTGATCCTTCTTGTGACTTCCTTTAGGATATTCTCCATTGATTAAATACTTCTTAACATCAGTATACCAAGCATCCTCATTATCTTCTTGGGTCAATAAAGAAATTGTTGGTTCAAAATTAACCACGGGAATTTCTTTTTCTACAATTGTTACTGACTGTACCTTCACATCATCGTCCCAAGTTAAATTTACCGCCAGATTTGCCAAAGCATCATTGAAACTGTTTTGTTCGCGAGGGATATGTTTGAACTCTATTTCTTCAAAGAATGGGATAAATTGTCGAAGATACTCCGTGTACATTTGCAACCTTTCGTCCCGAACTTTCCAAGCTCCAATAGTCTGGGAAATTATGAGAAAAGAATCACCGTACACCGTGAGATTCTTTGCACCAGCTGTTAATGCTGCTTTGATTCCATAGATGCAGGCTTCATATTCAGCCGTGTTATTCGTCGTTAGGAAACTAAGCTTCATAGTAAAACGAATATGTACTCCATAAGGATCGATCAATAATACCCCTGCACCATTTCCCCTTCTATTTGAGGCTCCGTCGAAATACATCTTCCACTGTGACGTACTAAGACAGAAAATATGTTCATCTGGAAAATCATCATCAAATTCATCACCCGATATAGGTCCATCAGCCAAAGCTTCAGATATAGCCCTCCCTTTGACAGACTTTTGATTCACGCACTGAATGTCAAATTCTGATAATATCGCATGCCACCTTGCTATTCTTTCACTCAAGACTGGTTTCTCAAAAATGTACTTGATTGGATCTAACCTTGAAACCAGATAAGTAGTATGTGCTTGCAAATAATGTCGAAGCTTCTTTGTCACGTAAATAAGGGCAATGCAAGCTCTTTCTAAAGGAGTGTATCTAGTTTCATTCTCAAGGAACTTTTTACTAAGTTAGTAGATAGCTATTTCCTTCCTCGTACCCTCTTGGTATTGTGCTAAAAGAGCTCCCATGGCTGTTTCCGTAATAGTAAGATATAATATCAAGGGCTGCCCTGGTTTCGGCGGCATTAAAACCGGAGGATTGGAGAGATATTCTTTCATTGAATCAAATGAGGCTTGGCATTCATCATTCCATTTTGTAGGAACATTTTTCTTAAGTAACTTGAATATAGGTTCACACCGAGTTGTCAATTGCGATATGAACCTACTAATATATTGAATTCTACCAAGAAATCCCCGAATCTCCTTTTCTGTCCTTGGCGGAGGAAGCTCTTGTATGGCCTTTACCTTGACAGAATTGACCTTAATTCCGTCTTGACTTACGATGAAGCCTAAAAGTTTTCCCGAAGTTACTCCAAATACACATTTCTGAGGATTCAATCTCAGATTGTATTTCCTGATTCTATCGAAGAATGATTTTAAAGCATCAAGGTGCGTCTCACGATCATGACTTTTGACAATCATATCATCAACATAGACCTCCACAATATCATGGATAAGGTCATGCAAAATCGTCGTTGCGGCCCATTGATAGGTTTCCCCATTCCCCATCATTCTTTAATCCGAAAGGCATTGCTCTATAACAAAAGGTTCCCCATGGGGTAATAAAAGAAGTTTTGGACATGTCCTCTTCCGACATAAGTATCTGATCCCGAGAATCCATCCATGAATGAGAACATGGCGTGTCCAGCAGTGTTATCAACAAGAACATCAATGTGGGGCAATGAAAAATAGTCTTTTGGCGATGCTGAATTTAAATCCCTAAAATCAATACACACTCTGACTCTTCCATCTTTTTTGGGCACTACCACCACATTCGCCAGCCATTCCGGATGCTTGATTGGTTTGATGAAGTTGGCATCAAGCTGCTTTTGAATTTCTTCCTTAACTTTGAGACTAACTTCTGGTTTCATTCTTTGAAGCTTTTGTTGCTTTGCCTTGCTATCAGGGTAGAGTGGTATACAATGTTCAGCAATATTACGATCGACACCAGGCATGTCAGCATAAGACCATGCGAACACATCCACATATTCTTTAAGTAAAATTATGAATGCATTTTGTTCATCGAGGGAAAGGGAAGATCCTATCTTGACTTCTTTTACATCATTATCCTTACCTATGTTTACAGTTATAAACTCTTCCATGGGTGTCACGCATGATTTAGGTTCATTGAAAAGTTCATTATTATAAAATGCATCATGATCAAGATCAATTTCTTGTACGCATATATGTTTACAAGTAACTTTATTGATATCTTCATGATATGAGATATCAGGCAGTGTATGAATAGACGATTAGCTAGATGATGAACTATCGGTTTCATAACCGTCTGAGGTAGAGGATCGAAAGGGATATAGTTTGGGGAAAGGAAGGAATTGTTCTTGAGTTTCGGGTCGAATATCATTTTCAACTTCTGTTCTTATTAGATTGATAAGTGTAATGGGATCGAATCTAGCTTCATAATCAGAATTTGACGAAAACAAGCCTCTTAGAACTCCTTGCTTTAGATAGTCAACCCAATCAACATCTTTCTTAAATACTTGTTTCTTATCAAACCATTTCTCAATAAATTCTTCATTCCTTGCTTCTGCAAAGAAAATTTCTAACCCAGGGTGAGTTTTCTCTTTATCCAAGTCACGCCAAGGTTCAGGAAACTCATAAAACGGCTCAGTGTCGTTTTGCAACACAAATTGCCCATTCAAGGTGAGAGACTTCCTTTTCACGACTTTAAAACCCATTTTCTCGTCGAAACCCAAACCATGACGATTTCGCTTATCAATTATTGGGATTGGATGCCTCATGCCTTCACCGTTTCGTCCTAAACCAGTTCCTGGAACATAACCCATTTTCAACATCAATTGAAGTCCTCTGGTAAGTGTTTGTGGTATTGGGTCTTGGATTTCTTGAATGGAATTTGGGGGTAGAGTAGATTTTCGAGTTTGGTTGGTCATGGGTTGGCAAAGGATACCTAAACATTACATACTGAAGATTAGGATTTCCTCCTTTTTTTTGAAAATAATTAAAAAAAGTAAACGATAAATGCAAAAATGCATGCGGGAAAAAAAAAACTTGGTAAAAATTAAAGGGCGTCTATTAAGTTACATAAGTTAGTGGGGTGTTCATTCCCAAAAAAAAAACTTCTTAATTATTTCGGGTCGCGCCATAAGGCTGCCTACGTATCTCCAGATAGATTTTTTTGTATTTTCACATTTTTTCTTCTTCTCTCTTTTTTTGGAGAATCAGACCCGTCGTAGTTCAAAACGGAAGAAGGAGGTTTTTTTTTTTTTTTGAAACAGCTGCACTTGATCAGAGTTGCCTACGTACCCCAATAACAATGTGCGTGCAAGTACAATTTTGTGTATGATCATGAAATAGTGCTTTAGGGGATCAAGTTGTACGTAGTTCTTTGTACCAAAAGAAAACATAAGGAGAAAAAAAAATGCTTGGTTTACAGTGCTCATACTACCCCTTTTATCCATCCTTCTTGATGGAGGGTAAGATAGAGGTCACCATGTCGTTGTAGATGCTTCTTTTCCCATGTATAGATTTCTTAGGCTTCAAGGTTTTCAACAGTCTTTCTCGTAGTCCGAGTAGTGACGAGCAATCAAAAGAGTAAGATCATCTTCATGTGTCCAAAAGGAAAGGGAATTTATGGACATATTCTGATTCGGGCAGGAAATTCTAGTTGTGCGCTTTATACACCAACGGAGGGCGTGACACTCGTTAGTGTCATGGCCATGTAACTGATGATAGTGACAATATTTGTTGAGATTTGGTCCAACAGGATCAGCTCCCGCTCGACGAGGTAGTGGCTTGATACGACCTTCTTTGAGTAGTTGAAGGAACAAATCAGCTTGAGAGGTCCGTGGCTGTGCCGGGCTTGTCTCTGGTACGCTAGAGTGAGGATGGGCCGGAGTGATGATCCCACGATCAATAAGATCCTGGATTACACATTTAAGGTCGTAACAAGTATCGGTTCTATGCCCATATAGATGACAATAACTGCAATATTGTCTCATATCTGTCCCATGTGGTGGTAACGAATACACATAGCTTTTTGCCCGAAGAATACCCTTTTTGCTCAAACGATCGTACACCACACTCAATGGTTCGTCGATTCGAGTAAATATCCTCCTGTTAGCTCTTTCACCTTGAGGGTGCACCTTAGGCCTTCTTTCCTGTAGTCGATAGGCATCAATTTCGTAACCATGTCTCTCCATGTGTGAGAGATCGGCGTATTTGATGGAGACCATATGTTGATAATAAAAATCATTTAACTTCCTCAATAATATCAACATGAACTCCCGATCATTAATATGAAAACGAAGTTGAGCTCGAACGTAAGAACATCTTGAAAAGAGATGCGAGAATGATTCCTGGTCACTTTGCTCCATATTTACTAGCTTCAGCTTTTCAGTGTCAGTCTGTCGAAACTCAAATGCCCAATCACTGAATTCTTGAGCAATCTTTCCCCAAGAACTTTTAGTTGTTACCCCTGAGGTATAATACCAAGATAACGCATGTCCATCCAAACTCCTGTTGAACAACATGGGAAAATGCTCTTCTGGAACATTTAAGGGATATAAGGTGTTCACAAAGTTGTATAAATGGATGATGGGATCTCCCAACCCGTTGAACTTCTCAAACTGAGGAAGATTATGGTAACGATCTTCATGCCTGTAGTTAGGGAAAAGAACCAACTCCTCCGGGTACACTAACCTTCTATAGCACAGGATATCGAAATCCAAATCAAAATCCTCGGCCCTAGATCTTTTCCGAGATCCTTCATCATGACCCCGTCTAAAAGAATTACTTGTCCAAGACTCTCCTCTAAAACAAGGATCGTTGTCTTTTGGAGTTTTGGGCTCTTCTTCTGCCTCATCTTCATTGGACCAGTTTGTTCCACCTACAGCTTCTTGGGAATTAACTTCAGAGTCGTTGTCATTCTCTCGACATTCCTCTTCTGGATCTTCCTCAGTTTCTTCTTCCGGCTCTTCGTCGGTTTCTTCGTCTTCCTCCAAGTCCTCCTCCGGATCTTCCTCCGTTTCTTCTTCTTCTTTCCATAAGCCTATTGAATCAACTCCAATATTGTGAATAGTGAATCCATCTAATCGACTACCCTCTTCTTCATCTAAATGGAGCACCGATTTTCCAAGAATAGAAACATTCATAACTTCTGGATTACCCACAAGTGTCACTGCACCATGATCCGTGAGCAACTTCACCTTTTGGTGTAATGTAGAGGCTACTGCCCTGTTCTCGTGAAGCCAAGGTCTGCCGAGCAAAAGGTTAAAGCATGCTTCAATATCAATTACCACAAATTCAACATTTCTAGCCACCGGCCCATATTCCAAAAGTAACTCAATTGACCCCAAAACATCTCTTTTGGCGTTGTCATAAGCCCTAACAACCTGGCTTGAAGGTGTCAAATCTTCTTTTTGAAAACCGAGATTTGTCATAACTCGATAAGGACACACATTGATGGCGGAACCATTGTCAATGAGTACCCGAGGTATCATCCAACCATGGCATTTAACAATTATGCGCAAAGAGTTATTGTGGTCGACACTTTCTGGGAGATCATTGTCGGTAAACATTAAAGTGCGGTCGGCTCCATGAATAAGTCCTACCATTTGATCCGGTGTTATGGATGGATCAATTGAAACTTCATTGAGATGTCTCAAAACGGCGGCCCGATGAGGTTGTGAATGAGTTAATAACTTCCATATAGAAACATTTGCATTAACCTCCTTCATGCGCCTAATAGCATCATCTTCTTCCTTATCCTCCCTTGCTAATTCCTTGTCTTTTTCTTTCCTCTTCAAGGCTTCTACGGGGTTCTCATCCTCAAGATATGAAGGTTTAAAGTGACGACCTGCGCGAGTCAAATGAGCCACCCGTAGATCTTCATCATCACTAAGATCATCAAGGTAGATTGGACATTGAAAATTACTAGGACTATTAAGGCGTGCCCCAGCATTTTTCTCAGCATTTGACAGCAATGACAAAGCATCCTCTTCATCATCTATTAGGCAAAATGCCCCATTATAACCCATAGTAGCGCAGACATCAGAGAACAGATCCTTTTTTAAGATAACATCCGAACCCTTGTATGGCACAAGCTTCACCTTTTGTTGAGTGGAGTGATCATACACAACACACACATAATTCTCGGATAATGGCATCTCATATATTCGAGGGGAATTTCAAAACATTAATAGAAGTGGAGATGGTGTTTATGGAAACAGGAGGCTTATGATTGGGAAGAGAATTATTAGTGATGCTTGGTTGTGTGTTTTTTAAATTTATCAGAGGATGCCCCGACTGAAAGCCTTCCTCCATCCACTAGATCTTGAATACGGTGCTTTAATGCTGTGCAATTTTCAATGTCATGCCCAGGCCCTTGGTGGAATTCACAGTGTTGGTTTGGGTTGTAACTGGGAGGAGGGTTTCTTGGGGGTGGCCTTGGGTTCAAAGGTTGAACGAGGTTGGCCTTTTTTAGTTTGGAGAAAGCTTGAGCGTAGGTCATGTTCAAAGGAGAAAAATTCCTT